GGCGTATTTTCTACCCTAGAGCGAAAGCAATTTCTTTTTCAGGAGCTGTCTCCCTCCCACTCCCCATCTCGCCCCTCTGCTCCTCTCCCCTCCCCCTCCCCCCAGTCCTAAGCGCCCGACCTCTCGGGGGTCCCCACCTCCAGCTCCCTTCTCTGCCGGGATTTCTTAGGAGGGGTGAAGGGGGTGTCCGCGAGGGGCATCAGCGAAAGCCGGGCGGCGGGGATGGGGGTGGGGACAAGGGCTAGGCGAGCTGTTTACTAGAAAGTCCCGGGGTTATGTGTTCGAACCGCCCCGGCCTAGGCCCGGGTGCATTGTGTTGGCCCGAGCCCCGGGCGCCCGAGGCTGCCCGAGCGAGGTGCGGTGGCCGGGAAGGCGCCGCGCAGCTTTGTGCTTGGGCTGCGCTCAGCTGTCGCCCCCGGGGCCGCCCGCGCGCGCGCAGCTCCCGCGCGGGGCTTTTTCTCACCGTGTCCCCGCGCCCCAACCTCGCTGTCCCCTGCCGCCTCCGGTTTCTTTACGATCGCAGCCTGCGGAGCGAGCCGGCGACCCGGGCAGGGCGGCGGGGGTATGAGCGGGAAGAAAAAGTAACCATTGCCGCCCGATTTCTTCTCCAGAGAAGGAGTTTCTTTGCTATTTACACGGAACAGGGTTATCTTTTTAAAGCCTTTGAATTCCGGGGTTTTGCGGCCTAGGAGCTGAAGGGGGCATTTTTCTGGAGATCGCGGAGGGAGTTAGAATCCACCAGCAAGAAATTAAGGATGCCCCGGTGGGGTAGATTTAGAGAACATTTACTAACCCCCTCCCCCAACGTACCCCAAATTCAGTGCAAATGCGGGTCGTGCAAACGTGTAATTGATTTAGATGCTGCAAACGAACACAGGTCAGGGTGGAAAAAAACAAACAAAACTTTAAGAGAAAGAAAAGATTTCTAAAGAGGGGGGAAATCCGTGGCCTCCACACCCCCTTCTAACGCTCGCTGGCTCCCTCCCTTCCTTTCTCCGCCGCTCCAGGAAAGCAGCCCGGCAGCTCCGGGGCAGAGAGCGGGGAGGCGGCGGCGACGGCTCCGGGCGCGGGCTCCGCTCTAAGGGTTCGGGGATGCCAGTGCGCCCGCGAGGCTGACGTCGGGGGCGTGGGGCTGTGATGCTCGAGCGAGGATGGCGCGGTGTCAGAGCCATTGGCCGCCGGTGGTCATCAATCAATCCGGGGCTGGGGGAGAGAGAGAGAAAGAAAGACAGGCACCCAGCGGAGCCCCGGGCCGCGAGCGCTAGCTCCAGCAGTGCCAGCAGCGGCAGCAGCAGCGGAGGCGACGGTGGTGGCAACGGGGGACTGAGCGAGTAAGGCGAGCTGGTGCTCCAGGAAGGAAGGGGGAGCTGTAGCCCGGACGAGCCGGCCGTGAGCCGGGAGGGCAGGGCGAGAGAGAGAGAGAGAGAGAGAGAGGGAGAGAGAGAGAGAGAGAGAGAGAGAGAGAGAGAGTGTGTGTGTGTGTGTGTGTGTGTGTGTGTGTGGAGTTGCTGAAGGACACCCCCCTAACTGCCCACCCTAGATTTAAAACAAACAAACCAATCCAAAGTAGAGAATTCCGCGCCCCCCGCCCCACCATATATAGGCTCTACGCGTTGCCAGAGGCGCAGGAGAAAAGTCCTGCCCTTTCTCTCCGAAAGAATGTGCCAGGCGGGTGTCCGCAGTGCTGGAGACAAGTTCAGGTGTAAGTGCGGCGCGAGGGGGGGCGCTCTGTGGACAGAGGCACGTGGAACTTTGTGCATCCCTTTCAAAACCCTGGCGGAGACGCCTCTGAGAAGGCTAGTAGGCATCGCTACGGGATACAGGGATGAGTACCTGGAGGTGGGCATAAAAGAGTAGGGGCGTGAGCTGAGAAATCACTCGATCCGTGCGGCAGAGGGAGGAGAGAGCGAAATTTGGTGGAGTTTGGAGCAGGCGAGTTCCAAAGTCCGGCCTGGCGGTTGGGCGGTCTTCTGAGGGCTGGTGAATAAAATGAGCATCCTTGTTTAAACGAGGCAATCACGGGCTCCTTTCTCATAGGCTGTGCCGAGTGAGCTCGGGTAGGGAGGTCATCAGTTGTTGCTTTGAAACTTTCGGTAAATTGGACTTCTGATGTCTAGGAGGTGGAGACAGTTATTTAATTCCTCAGCTTTTAATCCTTTCATTGCCAGCAGACTTTTAAAAGGTTTTCCAGCCAGATTCCTGAAAAAGAACATTGCAAGTTGCACAGCTTAAGGGACGGGAGACGCGATTGCTGTCTAGGAAATGCAAAATGAGCCCACATGATTTTTTTTTTTTTTTAAAGCGAAAATCAAACTAGCACCAGCATGAATGTTTGGCAATGTAAGTCCCTTTTAGATTTTCCTTTAGGATTCCTGGCATTTAGTACCAAGTTCTTTTGTTTTGTGGAGCAAATGTGCTGAAATATAAAATGAAAATTAAAAGAAAGAATACTGGTCTCTTTAAATATTATATGTAAAAAGTGATGTAAGGGTAATGAGAATGAGATGCTCCAAAATCTGAACATTTGGAAGATTTTACTGCCTAAATATGTGAAGCAAGGTAAATCCGCTTCTGGATAGTTTTAGGATAGTGTATCACTCTGTCTTGTTTAAAGCTTTTCCCAAATTTCACAGGTCAGAGGAGGGGCCATTGTCCCCTCTCTTTGAGAGTTTGCTAGGAAAACAAAACAAAACAAAAAATGCCTTTTCCATGTGTTGGTGTTTAATATCTGAGTCGGGGTGAACATAGTATTTTAAAAAATAAGCCTTTTCTTGACTTGCCTGTAAAGGTTCCTGTGAAAGTTTTGAAGCTCTCTGCCTCAGTCCGACAGTTTCTTCAAAGGACTCCAGATTAAAGAAGGTAGACACTGCAGGTGCACTCTTTCGATAAAACATTTGAAAGAGAACGTGGTGAAGATGAATTCAAATGAGGTGCCAGCCACCCATTAGCCCTTCAGAGTTACAGGGGTCTGTGCTTGCTGATGAAAAGATGTTCTGTTTGTCTTGCTGGGGCAAAGGTGCAAAGAGGCACAGACGTTCACTCGATAGAAAAGGCAATCCGACTTGGGCTTCAGGATAGACTGGACCATTGAGGAGTGTGAATTGATCACCTTCTACGTTCTCTTTTCTGCTTCAAATGGGAGGATCTAATAAGTACTCTAAGTCACTGCAAAGATATTTACATAATAGGTGTGGAAATTTTATTTCTAGGCTCTTTCGCTTAGTTTACTTGGTGAGTTTTATCCAGAAACATTTAAACCTTTTTCTGGCGCAGAGTGCAGAGATCGTTACAGAGAGGTCACTGTGGTGTAGACATGAATTTTGTCTCCTCCGCTTCTTAATGCTGTGTATCTCACACAATAGACATTGATGGCAGGAACACAAGAATTGCCATGTAATTTACACCACTCTTTAATTTATGCAAACACTAAGTTCTTGCGGTCTGAAAATGTGTATTTTTTTTTCCCTCTGTGCTTTGATGGCTAACATTCTTTTTAATGACAGCCATTTCTATAACAGGAAGATGTTTTCATTTGTATTTACTTTTCAGCGTGGTGCAATTATGCAGTTTTGCGCTTCAGTAGTGTCTCAGTACTTTGTGTCTCAAAAGAGAATTACAGTACTTAGAACAGGACTGCAATTTGAAGCAGGTGTTGTGTTTTACTGTTATGCAAAATAACAGTAAAATATAATTGTAGGGGAAATTAAGGAAACAGCTGCAAACTTGGTATGAAAACTGCTACATTATGATTTGTAAGCAGTTCTTATAGATATCTTGCATCAAAGGAGCAGGGAGAGATTTTAATTTAGTTAATCCTACTGGCCTGGTTGTCTATCAACTAGTGCTTACAGGACTCCTACCTCCCATGAAGTCAGGAAGAAGAAAGAGAACCCAAAGTGACACTTTGTTTAAAATGCCAGAACACCAGGGATTCATCTCTTGGCAGTGGCGCTGTGCATTAGGAACGAAGGCAAGGTGGGTGTCATTTAGCTTGCTTTGCTAATAGGAAGAAGGCAATGATTTGCGTAGAACACTGTGGAATTTCTTAGCCCAGCTAGCATATGGAGGACTACACAACCCCCCCGGGTTGTAAAATAATAAAATAAATGGCCTATGGCAGGCCATCTGCTTTTTGCCTGATATCTAAGGTGTTTCATGCCAAATCTAAAGCTAATCTTATTATTCTAAATATTTTTATTTGAGATAACAGTTAAGATTCCTGGAGCTTAATGGTGCACATGGTAAACATATTCTGATGCAGAGCACTTCAAGCAAAGAGCGTGGGTTACCCAAGGGTTACTCAAGGAGGGTGCTACCTGTTTCTTCTCTGTTGCACCAAGGAGTTCCAACAGCTCTCAGTGCAGGGATTTGCTCTCTTTGCATACCTACCGTAAAAATAAACATCCTCATTTCTCAACCCAGTGCAACAAATAATATATTGACATTTATCAGAATAATCAAAACTAACAGAAATTTTGAAAGAATGAAACCAGCTACTGAGAATTATACAGCACCAAGCAAGAATGAGGTGGTCGACGTAATGGCCGCCCCCTTTCGGGGCTCTCTTTGGGCTCTAAGCAGGGCGTAATGAATGCATCCAAGTAGTGGTCCAAGCCTCGATGTGTTTGACTTTCTTCCGCGTGACTGGAGTGTTTGAAGAAATCATAATTACATTTAGCAAGAAGGATTTGCCTTACCATAAGATTCTTGGCCAGAGTGGAATACATATGTAGACCAGGCGCTGAGTACCTATGTATTTGGGGAACTGCTTGTGAAAGAAAAAATTGTGTGTAACATGTGCGTATATTACATATGTGTTATAGTTATACACAGGTATCTGTTGTAAGTGTAGCATTTTAAACGTGTTCTGTGGCTGTGTTAAGCATTGAGATTCCACGTTATTCTATGACATCAACTTTGTACAGCCAAACATTCCAATTAGCACGGCAAGTTTGGAAGATTCTCCACTTCGAGCACAAACCATTTATAGTTAGACACCATGGCAACTGTGGATATGCCCCTTCCGTAATTCATGTTAAGTGCCGTAATTATAATTAAAGAGGAAATCTTAGTTGGAACGCCATGGAAGTCATTTGCTAGCAGCCAGCAATGTGCTATGGAGTGCAGGGTCCGTTCCGAGGTGCATGCAGGGTAGAGTGTTGGGAAAGGTTGTGTTCACGAGGCAACGACACGTGTTAAGATTTTTCTTGTGCCCATTTCATGTCTAGGTGTTGTATTTGACATTTTTTAGAGCACCTTCTTTTTCTTTGTTCTCATTTTATAATTTTTTTTTTTTTTTTCCAGAAACGCACAGTGGTATTGATGAGTAGATCCTTGGGTTCAGAGGTTGGCTGAAACACACCATGCCTGCGTCCATCCTTTGCTCCGGAAAGTTGTGAATTGCTCATGCCTATAGGGAGGAAGGATGGCTCATGGGATTCCTTCTCAAGGCAAAGTTACCATAACGGTGGATGAGTACAGCTCAAACCCCACCCAGGCATTCACGCACTACAACATCAACCAGAGCAGATTCCAGCCGCCACATGTACATATGTAAGTATCACTCATGAACTTAAAAGAAATTAGCAATCAAGAAAATAGAAGTAAAATAAGAAAGTCTCTAATGACTTCTGCCAGGGAGAATAAAAAGGTTTACGATTGGTAAAACAGATGGGTATCCGTGCTTCCAAATACAGCTCAGAGGAATACCCTGCATCTGTGTAACTTTTTCAGATTTTTCAGCGTATTTTCAACCACAGTTTGACATTAGATCACAGATCTAGGGAGTGGTGGTCTGTTGCCCACATTTTGTGGATAACAACAGAGAGGTTAAGGTATTTGCCCGGTGTCACACAGTGACTTTGGCAGAGTTTCCTGACCCCTGGTTCAGTTTGCTTTACCTGTATTGTTTGCCTCCCCGAGGAAATATTTCTTTAAAATTTCTGCAGTTTCCCCCCACACACACACCTCACCCCACTACCCCTTTACATTCAGCTGGGAAATAGGCCTAATTGGGACTAATTGTCCAGCCACTGCTAAATCCATTGTCTTGCCTGTTGCTCGTGGAACGTGTGCTGCATGCTGTAGGACTCAAACAATATGGGGAACAAAGGATTAAGGGACAGTGGAACAGTTGGTTCCAGGAATTGTACTTTTCTCTCACTCCCTAATACTATTGAAGTCATGTTTCAGTTTTAAACTGTTTAAGGAACAGAGTGTGGGAGAAATCCAGAGGCCAGGATTTTGCAGCACCTGCATGCACACCAGCTTCTTTCTGTTCCTCTGCTACAGGATGTGCTGGGCTTTCAGCAGAAGGGGCAAAAGGTCACCATCTCCCTAGTTGATTCAATGCCTGGTGCTCATTCTCTATTAGACCCTTCCAATGTCTAACATGAGTCTTTCATAGTAGGACTAAACCTCTTTGAACACCATTGTATAGTCAAGAGAGAAAGGAGGTTAGGGCTCTGTTGACTGTTTTTTCCATTCCTGGCAAAACTGAACTCGGGGGATGTCTAAGTCACAAGTTCTTTTTTGGTATTTGTTTTATTTGAGTATTTAAAAAATAGTAGGACCCCCCCCTCCCCCATACACATACAACCCACCCCCCCACTCCCACCCCCACCCAAATTTGGAAACACTAGTGAAACAAAAAGATCTCTCTTGACTGCCTAGGTATTAGTATAAATACTAGGATGTTACTTTGCAAGTATATTCTATAGTCACTGAATTACTTACGATGGGATTTCTGGAAAAAAAAGAGAAGAAAATGGGAAAGAAATCTTTGTGAATGGTTAGTGCTAAACTATTTTGAAGAATTTTATACTTTCCTTAAATCAATTTATTCATGATTATGGAGGATTGTTAACATGATTTTAAGGGAAAGTTTTTAAAGTGAATACGATTTTCCTTTGTTAAAATGGATTTCCTGAACAATAAGTCTGTGTTCATTTCAAATTTTCCTTTTATTCTTCTGCCTCTAATGATTTCTTTTTCTTCAAATACATTATAGAATTTGTGCGAGCTGTACTTGGGATACCTTTAGCTCTGTTCTGCCGGTGTGACGTTTTATATTAAGGAATCACAAAGAACTTTGTGAATTCTGTTTCCTTTCAGGCAAAAGAGAGTATGTTTTGCCTCAGATTCCTGAGAGGAATGGAGGATGACTGATAGGGAATATCACCTTAAGTCTTCACTTGTTCATGGCCCTAGGATTCTGTTGGTGAACTGGGAACAAACAGATATTTAAAAAATCATGTAACCTTAGAACTAATCTGCTTAGATCTAGCCATGAAAAAAAATCAAAGGATCAAATTACATACCTTTTTTGGAGGAAAAAAAAAAAAATCTTGCAAAATGAGGTTTGCAGTCGTAGCTTGGACAGCTCTATAGCCCCTCACTAGACTTCCCAGGTTGGAGTCAGCACTCTCCCACCTTCTGGGTGCAGCTGGCCCTTTCACCTTCATCACCTAAGGAGGGCTTGTTCTCGAACCCTTTGCTCCAGCCGCTTGCAGGTTGGCTCACTATCTCCTGAGCACACCTTGGCCGTCTCTGTCTTGGTGCCATTGCTTTTAGTGCTGAGGTGTGAGAAGCACACTTACGCTCTGCTCATTGAATGCTTACCAAATGCCTCAAGTCAGTACAGGCCTCTTTCCACCTATAAAACTTTTCTCTCTCACTGTCCAAATTGGCTGTGCCCCACTCCCCAGCACAACACCCCCAGTCCCTACGTCAGCCCATACCACTTGGATGTATTATCTCTCTGTCCTTCGTGTCTTGAAAGCAGTGATTGATCAGGTAAAAGGTGTTCAGAAATACTGATTGATGGATTGATGGATTCATCCAATGATTTGACTGTGCACTGAGATGAGATATTGTGATTGAGATTTGGAGAATTTCATTGGAATTTTTCTGTTCTATCTCAGCATTCTGAGTGTTTGTATGAAGGTGTGTGTGTCTTGTTGAGCAGCTGGCTCACCTTTTCCTTGGTTTCACTTTTCCTTGCTGCCCTAGCACAGTGACTGACCCATACTAGGCATTCAGGTATCTTGGTTAAATGTGATAATGTTATGTTTCTTTTATAGTTTAAAAAAAAAATGCGCCTAGTCTAAACAGAAACTTAAATTGACTGGAAAATATCCATAAAATATTTAGTCTAAAATTTCTTTGGTTGTTCTGAAATTCTCGTGTCACACCAAAGGTTTGTTCCTTTCCCTAAAAATATTTTGTCTTTTCTCCTTGAATCGTTGCTCATTATTTTGCATGGGATCCTGACTATGTTTCCTTTCCTTTTTCACTTACAACTGAGGTCTGTGAAGACCCATTGTGGATCACCTGAATAGAAATTAAAATCCTGGTGCCTTAAGTGATCCATTGTTTTCTTTCACACAACCTAGTATAGGGTTTTCTTGCCTTAATTAAGGAATAGCTCATTCGCCATTTAACTCAGTTAGTCTCATGTCCATTTTGTGACCCACCTTGGGCAATTTTCTTGTCTTTTCCATTCCTTAGTTTACTCATTTGTACACATTTGCACCAAGTGACAGTTATGGATCTTTTTAGCTCTGACATACTGGATTAAGATTGCAATTAAGACAACAGTTATTGGGGTGCCTGGGTGGCTCAATGGGTTGAGGCCCCTGCCTTCGGCTCGGGTCATGATCCCAGGGTCCTGGGATCGAGCCCCACGTGGGGTTCTCTGCTCAGCAGGGAGCCTGCTTCCTCCTCTCTCTCTGCCTGCCTCTCTGCCTACTTGTGATCTCTGTCTGTCAAATAAATAAATAAAATCTTAAAAAAAAAAAAAAGACAACAGTTATTTGCAAGGGGTTGCTATAGGGGGAATACAGATACATAAAACTTGGCCGGCATCTTCATCCAGCTCATCACTGATTTCAGAACTCTTGTTTCAAGTGACTTTAGGAGATTTACTGCTTGGTGTTGGTTTGGTTTCTCCTGTGAGTTCTGACAAGTCTGCCACCAAGCTTTCTAGGAACCACTGGCCTGCATCTCTGCCTGTGACATAGGGAAGAGTTTTTTCTTTAATTGAAGTATAGTTGACACACAATGTTACTTTAGTTTCAGGTGTACAACATAGTGGTTGGACAAGTCTATACCTTATGTTGTGTATTTGTGGGTCTGTTTCTACTTTTCTTGTCTGTTTATCCATTTGTTTTGTTTGTTTTTGTTTTTAGATTCCATGTATATATATAGAAGTGAAATTGTATGGTATTTGTCTTTTTCTGTCTAACTTGTTGCCCTTAGCATAATACCCTCTAGGTCCATCCATATTGTCACAAATGGCAAGATCTAAAGGAAGATTTTTTTTTTTTTTTTTAAAGAAAGCAACTTTAAATTACCTTGGGAAAGAAAATGAAAGCACAGCTGGAGTTCATAGGGCAGAATTTAGCCGAGAATTTGTGTGTTCCTCTTACCCAGACTCTTGAACATAGTGATAGATGTGATGATTGAAAACCAAGAATTAACGGTGTTTCATTTTAACACAATTCCTTCTTTTTTCCCAAGGAGAGTGTTGAGAAAATTGTTTAGTATTTTTAATATTGGTGGGAGGAGTTGCTGAAGGAGCCAATGTGGATTTGAAAGCACCATAAAGATTCTGTGTATTTTTAATTATGTGAGGCCTAATAAAATATTATAAAACCCTTTTCAGCAGGACATCCAGCCATCTTGGCTTTTGCCCTCAAAGTCCTGTGTTCTGGGAGACCCATAGTCCTCTGCTAACCAGGATGTTTGATCGCCCTACTGAGGTTAATTTCTCTTCTTTTAAGAATTTAACCTTCTTCTTTTAAGAATTGGTTGCTGGGAAATTCATATCAAATTTTATTTTCAGTTTTAGTGCCTTTGTTTGTCTTTGTCTTCAGTTGTCAACACTTGTGGAATATTACTGTGCTGTTGTTTTTTTAGACTTGTTTTAGGAGGAAGCATAGCATAGTGGTTGACCTCTCCAGTGGAAAAGATTGTTAGATTTAAAGCCTGGTTCGCACCACTTACTAGCTGTGTAACCAACCGTGAAGAAATGTATTAAGTTCTCTGTTTTCTTTTTCCATTTGTAAAATGTGGGCGATAAAAGTAGGGCCTATCTCAAAAGGTTGCTGTGAAGGTTAAAACAGTATTACTTGTAAAATTCTTAGAGGAATTCTTAGCACATAACTTATACTCAATACATGTTAGCTGTTATTAATGATTGCTTTATTGATTCTGCATTTTTTTATTCTAAGCTGTCCCAATTTACTTTGAAAATCAGGGCAGTAAAAATGAATGAATGAGAAAATTACTGGTAAGTTTTGTCCTGTCTTCTTCAAGGAACCATTCCCAGCAAACTCTTCTGGGTGGGATATTTGACCATCAGTGTTGGCAGATGTATTGACTTCTTGGTGCCTGTCAAGGTCATAAACAGCCTGGGATTATCTCACTTAGTTCAGTTACTCTTTGGGAGTAACAGTCCCGTGGGGAGAAGGAATGCAGTGAACTGAGTGTCGCCTAGTTATTCCTTGTGGGCTGTTCTCAGGGTCTTGTACCCTCATCAGTGTCTTGGGCTC